GGGGGGGGGGGGCACACAGGCATAGAACGATTTGTTGTCAGTACTTAGAGGCTCAACAAGGTAGCCCCCACCCCAATTTGGAAATCAGAATGCCCTGGAAGTAATAAAGTTATAAAGTTAACTCTCAGCGGATGGTGAGCCATCCATAGCTCCCTATTGCCCTTAGAAATGAATCTGAAATCTCTAACATTGTTGCAAAGGGATAGACCCCTGTCTACCTCTCCTTGCCTATCTGAAGCCATTCTCTCCCTCACTAGCCATGCCCCAGCCAGCCTGGTCTCTTTCCTTCCACTTCTGGCCTTCACATGTATGCTGGCCCCACTGCCTAGAATATACTTTGTGCTAGAATGTCTTCCTTTGAGCTACTTCCTCCAGGCCTTAGCTTAACCTCTCCAGATGACATTTCTTCCCTCACCTCAGCCCCACTGCCCCAGGTATGATTCCTTCCCAGGATTTTTCAGTCTTGTCATTAATTTATAACTATCCAACCTTTGTCTTTCCTGCTAGATCAAAAGCAACTTCGGCATCGGGACAGCATTTGATCACGTGTGGGTGCCCAGTGACGTGGCCCAGACCCTACACATGGTCGATCCTCAATAATTGTCTATTATTTGCAATTGTCTAACGAGCTGTTTAGCTCGAGCAGGTCAGACTTTCTGAGGGGCAGCTTCTTATCTGTAAAATGGGGATAATAATAAGAATGCTGGCCTCCTGGGACTGTCAACAGAATTAAATGAGTACATTGAGGTAAAGTGCATAGAACAGTGCCCGACACAGGGAAAGTACTGGATGAAAGTATGTTATAGAGGAATGGGGAGAAAGTGTTCCAACATTTTGGAACTAGATAGAGGTGGTGGTTGAACATTGTGAATGTACTAACTGCCACTGAGTAGTTCATTTTTAAATGTTTAGTTTTAGGGGCACCTGCCTGGCTGGTCTCAGGGTTGTGAGTTAGAGCCCCACGTGGGGTGTAGAGCTCACTTAAAAAAAAATAAAATGTTTAATTTTATGTCGTGTGAATTTCACCTCAATACATTTGTTCAAAAGTGTGTTACTGATTGTATTCGTTTGCTAAAGCACTGTAACAAAGCACCCCAGAGTGAGTGGCTTCACAGAAATGTATTTTTCCATGGTTCTAGAGGCCAGAAGTCTGAGTTCAAGGTGTGGGCAGGGTGGCCTTCTTCTGAGGCTTGTCTCCATGGCTCGGGGATGGCCGTCTTTTCCCTCTGTCCTCACGTGGTCTTCTCTGTGCGTGTGTCTGTGTCCTAGTCTCCTCTTAGAAGGACACCAGTCCTGTTCGATTAGGGACCATCCTAATGACCTCATTTTAACTCAATTACCTCTTTAAAGACCTTGCCTTGATCTCCTATTTTTTTCTTAAATTTTTTTTTCAACGTTTTTATTTATTTATGGGACAGACAGAGACAGAGCATGAACGGGGGAGGGGCAGAGAGAGAGGGAGACACAGAATCGGAAACAGGCTCCAGGCTCCGAGCCATCAGCCCAGAGCCTGACGCGGGGCTCGAACTCACGGACCGTGAGATCGTGACCTGGCTGAAGTCGGACGCTCAACCCACTGCGCCACCCAGGCGCCCCGATCTCCTATTTTTTTAAGTGGCCTTATTATTGGCAATTTTTTCAAGTAATCGCTACACCCAGTGTGGAGCTCGAACTTGCGGCCCTGAGATGAAGAGTCACATGCTCCACCCACTGTGCCTTGGGTTCCTCATCTATAAAGTGGGAGAAACAACAGATCTCCCTAAGGCGAGAGGACTCTTCGGGACATCAAGACCTTCTACACACCTCCATTGAGGAGATGCCCCTCAATGTGACTGACCTCATCTGAGGGGCTGTCCTGCTACCTAGTCCTACCCAGGGTTCAGTCCATGTGGCGCTGAGGAGGAGCAGGAGGGGGGAGGGAAGACAGCCAAAGGATGGACCTCTTGTCATTTTTTTCTCTGAGTAAACGTCACTTTTTGAGGCAAAAGAAAGACAACAACAGATCTTCCTATTAAATGAAACCGTGCGTATATGTCAGTTAGTATTGCCACAGGACAAATAAACCCCAAACTTAAACAGCATAGTACAACATAGTACAGCCATGTGCCCTTGATTTTGTGGATCAGGAAATGGGAAAAGGCTTAGCTGGGCAGCTCTAAACTGGAATGACGTGGCGGACCCAGAATCCATGCTGTCAACCGAGGCACGTACTTACTTGGCTCTGTCAGGTCCTACAGGGCCTACAAAGAGGCTTGGGATCATGTCTTAAGTGTGCTGGGAAGCACTATCCATATTCAAACGCCCAAGCAGAGGGTATGTTCTCTCTGCCTCGGTTTCTCCGAGAAAACTTTTTCTTCTTTTGGAACGAGGAAGCAATTCTCTTCTCTAAACAGATCACTCCTAATGGTCATCAATCTGTCTCCTCTCCGTTTTCCTCAGCCACAGTCTAGGTCTATGTCTCCAGTGTGGCTCCTAAATGTTCCCCTGGCTTTCACTCTGGCCACAAGAATGTGAAAATCAGCCCCAATGACCCTAAGACTTTAGTAACCAAAGTGTTCAGCCCCTTAGATGGAAGGCAGACCCCACAGCTGCACAGGTGATTGGTACGCCATTCTTAAGAACAACTCTTATTTTCTTATCGATGCCATCCAGGCCTTCCCTCTGCCCATTTCTTCTTCTTCTTCTTCTTCTTCTTCTTCTTCTTCTTCTTTAATCTTTTTAATGTTTATTTATTTTTGAGAGACAGAGAGACAGAGTGTGAGCAGGGGAGGGGAAGAAAGAGAGGGAGACACGGAATCAAGAGCAGGCTCCAGACTCTGGGCTGACAGCACAGAGCCCACACGGGGCTCGAACCCACGAACCACGAGATCATGACCCGAGCTGAAGTCAGACACCTAGCTGACTGAGCCATCCAGGCACCCCTGCCCAGTTCTTTTTTTTTTAATTTTCAACGTTTATTTATTTGTGGGACAGAGAGAGACAGAGCATGAACGGGGGAGGGGCAGAGAGAGAGGGAGACACAGAATCGGAAACAGGCTCCAGGCTCTGAGCCATCAGCCCAGAGCCCGACGCGGGGCTCGAACTCACGGACCGCGAGATCGTGACCTGGCTGAAGTCGGAAGCTTAACCGACTGCGCCACCCAGGCGCCCCTCCCCCTGCCCAGTTCTGAT